CGGCGCACATGTTTCTCTCGTCAACTCGTTGACACCAGGGTCGCGCGCGAGCGGGTGAAGTGTGTCGCTCTCGCCTCAGCGCCGCGCAGACTTCACCTGAATTTGACGCTCCCACTGCTTGGCGCGGCGCATACTCTCACTCGCCAAGTCGCTCGGGGCGGGGCTGCGCGCGCGCCGGCGAACTGTCGCTCGCGCCGAAGCCCCGCGCGGCGCATGCCTTTCGGTGAGTCGCCGGAGAGAGGCAGCGGCAGAGGGGCCGCGCGAGAGCAGGCGAAGGCGGTCTTCTGGCCCACGAGCCGCGCAGAACCCGCGCGGAGAGCAGCGGTGCTGCTTCGGCGAGGCGCGTGCTCTGTCTCCACCGCTCTTCATCGAGCAGCCGACCGCACCAGAGGGCACGTGGCGCTCTCGCCGCAGCGCCAAGCAGTCTCTCTTAGGAGTGCCGCGCCAGCCCGTGCGCGGCCCGATTTTCTGCCCCCTCGTCGAAAACGCTCTGGAGCGGGACCGCGCACAGACACCTGCCGCTCGCCGGGTGGGATCGCGCACCAGTCTCAAAACGCGTCGGTCGGAGGGAGTAGGTAAAAGCATGAAGTAGAAAGGGCGGATGCAGTAGATCAGATTCGGGTCCGCCCAGGGACTGACAAAACAGCGCAAAAGGAAGTCGATTCTTGACGCAGGAAGGCACTTGAAGTCAATTGGGATCTGAGAATCCAGAAATACTTTCAACAACCAGCGTGTAGGTTGGAACGCGCACCAGTCTGAATATCAAGCTGCGCCACCAGCGGTTCTCATTACGTGTCGGGGCGGGTCGAGAGCAGGGGTGGCCCACTGACTCGTTCGACCTGACTTGCTCCACTGATGACTCCTTTCTACTCCTCTTCCCGACTATCAACCTGACGAGCCCAGATTCAGTTTGGGGGGGGCTTCTTTCAATGTTCCCCGGCACCCCCACACCACTGGGAATGGAAGGCAACTTGCGGCCTTCGGGTTGGGTTGTGGTGGTTTGGTGGGCGGTGGCTCCTGACTCCTCCTCTTCCTCCAGCACCCTGGAAACCTCCCAAAGCCACCGAGAGCGGCTGAAAAACCCGACGACGACGACGACGGCGATCGGAGCTGGCTGGAGGGAAAGGAAACGATGGCCGTGACCAAGACTGAACGCGAAAACGCTGGTGTCGATCTGAGTCATCGCCTGTCTTGGTCATCGTCAATCCATGGATAATTGCTCGCGAATCGGCGATGGCCGGTACGGATCATGACCAAGATCGGCGTCGACATGATCCCGTGCCATCTTTCGAGGGACAACAGACGGCATAAACATGACTTATCTAAGGTCCACGCCGATCTCTTGGATCTGCGCTAGACCCCAGGGGCGGCGCCGGAGGCGTCGCCAGGGGGGCCCAGACCGCCGAGAAATGATGTATATGCCGATTTCTGTTCTTCGGATCTTGATCATGGTCATCGAGTTGCCTCCTTCGACTAGCTGCCGCCGCGGGGCCCGCTGGGTGCGCTGCTGGGGGGCGGGCGCCGCCACGCTGTCCTGGGGATGCAGCATTCGGGGCGCCGAGTCGGCTGCGCCACACGTCCCGGTGCACTGTCTACATCGCTGACTCTCGCCGCGCCTCTATCCTGCCTGCTCTGCTCCTCGTCCTCCTTCTCCCCCTCCTCCTCCTCATCCTCTTTTTCCTCCTCTACTTGCTTCTCCTCCTCCTCTCCTCAACCTCCTCCTCCCGTCCTCCCTCCTCCCCTCCTCCTTCTTTTGTCCTAATCCTCCTCCTCGACCCCCTCCTTCCTCCCTCCCTTACTCCCCCTCTGCCCGCCTCCCCTTGCCTCCTCCCCCTGCCTCTATAGCACAGCCTGTCGCACCACCAAACACATCCGTATGCTAGGCTGGAAATTTCGCTGAACACTTTCAAACCGTTTGTTCCCCAATCAGAGCTTGCCTCTGAAGGAGTCCTAGCGGATTCATATGGTAGGTGAGGTGTGTCACCGATTTCCGCGGCCCGCCCGGGTGCCTGGGTGCCCGTGTGCCCAGGTGCCCGGGTGCACGGGTGCACGGGTGCCTTATAGCCCTACAGCCCTATAGCCCTACAGCCCTATAGCCCTATAGCCTTGTAGCCCTATAGCCCTATAGCCCTATAGCCCTATAGCCCTGTATTATTGTAGCCCTATAGCCCCACAGCCCAATAGCCCTATAGCCCTATACCCCTATATCCATATAGCCTTATAGCCCTATAGGCCTATCACGCTATCACCCTATAGCCCTATAGCCCTATAGCCCTATAGCCCCATAGCCCTATATCTGATCGCGGGCTCAGGGTCCTTGGGCCCCCCCCCCCAGATGGGATGGGTCCCAGGGTCCTCGGCCCCCCCCCCCCCAGATGGGATGGGGGGAGGAGGAGGAGGAGGAGGAGGAGGAGGAGGAGGAGGCGACGACGACGACGACGTCGACGGCACCACCAGCGGCGGCGGCGGCGACGTCGAGCACCGGAGCTGTCAACATGATGCCAATCCCAGTCACACGCCCCACCCACACCGTACCTTCAGAGGGGGAGGGAGGGGGGAGGACCATGGCGTCACCCCGCACACACACCACACCCACACCACATCCACAGGGGGGGGGGGGGGGGAAACTACCACGCCACGCCCACGCCCAAAGGGGGGGGGGGGGGCATCGCGCGGGGGGGGGACCCGATGGCATTAGCATTGGGGGGGGCCCGCCCAAACCCTCGACCATATATGCCGATGGCCCTGTGGCCCTATAGCCTCATTGTCCTATGTCCCTATGGTCCTACAGCCTTGCAGCCCCATAGCCCCATGAACTCATAGCCCTATGGCCCTACGGCCCTATAGCCCTATAGCCCGATAGCCCCAGAGCCCCATATCCCTATAGCCCTACAGCCCTCTAGCCCAATAGCCCTATAGACCTATAGCCCTATGGTCCTATAGCTCTAGAGTATCATTGCCCCACAGCCCCATAGCCCCATCGCCCCATAGCCCAATAGCCCCATAGCCCAATAGCCCCATAGCACCATCACAGATTGACTAGAACCACGCGCGCGCTTCACGCGCGCTTAGATTCTAGCCAGCTCCAGCCCGTGACAGTCTCACAGCTGCGTGCAGATGCGCACGCACACATGCAACGTCAGGAGTCACTCACAAGTTGTAGGGGTTTCTTGGGGGCCTCTTGGGGGCGTCTTGGGGGTTCTTCGAGCATCTGAGGGGCTTTGTGAGGCGTCTTGGGGCCTCTTGAGACCTCTTGGGAGCGGTCGTGAGGTCTCCGCAGCCCATCGGAGGCGACAAGGCGAGAAGGCGAAAGTCACTGATTTCCCTTTGGTTTGGGAGGGGCTTTGGCTTGTCGGAGGCGTTCAAGAAGTTCTCCTGGGACCCTCTGGGGCTGTCTTGAGTGTCTGTGGAGGCGTCTTCGCGCTCCGGGCACTTCTCGGTACGCGTTCCCCTTCTTGGGCCTGTCACACTGTCTTGGAGCCGTCTTGGGGCCCTCTCAGGCCGTCTTGGGCGTCTCGAGAACTACGACCCACTGGACACTTCTGGGTTCGCGTTCCCCTTCTTGGGCCTGTCTTGGAGCCGTCTTGGGGCCCTCTCGTGCCGTCTTGGGCGTCTCAGGGACAGTCTTGGGGGCGTCGTGGGCCGTCGTGGGGCTCTCTTGGAGGCTTCTTCATCTGTCTTCGAGCGGTCTTGGGGGCCTCTGGGGCCGTCTTGGAGCTTCGGGAAACTGAAAAGGCGAAAACTCGAAAAGCCTTCAAAAACCTTAGGAAAATCAATCATTGTTGCCTCTTGGGAAGCCTCTTGGAGGCCTCTTGGGGGCCTCTTGGGGGCCTCTTGGGCCCTCCAGGGAGCCTCTCGAGGTGGAGGCTCGGATTGGCGGTTCGGGTTACCCCTCCGGTGTCCTTATTGGGGCCGCCTTGGAACGCTCTTGGGCCGTCTTGGACGCCTCGGGCGCCGTTTCGGGGCCCTCTTGGGCCGTCTTGGGGCCCTCTTGGAGGCCTCTTGGGCTGTGTTGGAGCGGACATTAGAGGCCTCTCGGGCCGTCGTGGAGCGTCGGGAAACTGAAAAGGCGAGAACTCGAAAATCCTTCAAAAACCTATTGATAATCAGCGAGTTTTGCCTCTTCAGGCGCTCTGGGGAGGCCTCTTGGAGGCTTCTTGGAGGCTTCTTGGAGGCTTCTTCGGGCGTCTGAGAGGCCTCTTGAAAAGTCTAGAGCTAATTGTGGGGTCATCTCTACTGTCATTCATCGTTTGAGCCGTCTTCGGGCGATCTTAGAGGGCCCCCGGCACACCAATTTGTGGTCGGGGTCGCGGCCCCGGAGTCCCAGGGTCTGGTTCCCCGTTACATGCAACTGTGATAATACACTAAATGCCTAGATACATAGAAAACTGATCCGACTAGACCTGCGTCCCGCTGGGGGCCGCTGGGTCCCGAGCGCGCCTGGAGGGCTCAAGACGGCTCCTGATGGCTTCCAGAGGGCCCCAAGTTGGGCCAAGAAGAGGACTACACGACGCCCATGGCCACAAGACAGCCCCAGAGGCCCCCTTGTCGCCCCAAGACACCCCAAGAGGCCTCCCAAGGGAGCCCCAAGAGGCCAAAATGGCCAAATCCCTCCGTAAACCGTACATCAACAACTTCTCGCCTTCCCGACGCTCGAAGACGGCCCAAGACGTCGCCCAGATTGCCCCAAGACGGCCCAATAGGCACTCAAGAGGCCCCCACGACGGCCGAAGAGGGCCCCAAGACAGCCTAAGAGGTGCCTAAAACGGCCCAAGGGGGCCCCAAAACGGCTCCCGAGAGGCACCAAGGACCCACAGAGGCCCCCAAGAGACCCCCAAAAGGCACCAAGAGACGCCAAAACAGCCCCCAAGACACCCCAACAGGCCTCCCAAGGGAGCCCCAAGAGGCCAAAATCGCCGAAATCCCTTGGTAAAACGTACGTCTTCAGCATCAACAACGTCTCGCCTTCCCGACGCTCCAAGACGGCCCAAGACGCCCCCCCAGATTGCCCCAAGACGGCCCAAGAAGCACTCAAGAGGCCCCACGACGGCCGAAGAGGGCCCCAAGACGGCCAAAGAGGATGCAACCTATGTAGTGCAATATATGCGGTCCAAACTATGCGGTGCAATCCATGTGGTACCCAAGACGGCCCCAAAACGGCCCCCGAGAGGCACCATGGACCCCCACGGAGGCCTCCAACAGGCCCCAGCTCCCCAAGCGGCACAAAAAAATACCTCAAGAGACGCCAAAACAGCCACCAAGAGGGGTCAAAACTGCTTCCGCAAAACACCCTGCAAGCCTCTTGGGCCCCCTGGATTGGTACGGCGACGGTCAGGGAATGCACACATACACATATAACATATATGTATATACATATATATATAGGATACCGGAGAAAACCCAAAAACACAATCTGATTAAGGATACAGAGCTATGTGGCCATTGGGCTATAATTATAGAGCGATGGGGCTCTGGGGCTATAGGGCTATGGATATATAAGGCTATCGGGTCATAGGGCTATAGGTAACGGAAAGAGCGAGGTACGAGTGATGACGTTCTGGTGTGGGCGAAGCCCTAAAGGGAGGGGTTCCAGGGGAGGGGCGAAGCGTGTGGAGATGGGCGTTAATGGCAATTGTTGGGTTTTCCCTCGGGTTTTTGCATGTTTTTCGGGTTCCCCCCCAAGACGGCCCAAGAGCGCTCCAAGAGAGCCCAAGACCGCCCAAGACGGCCCAAGAGGCCCCCAAGAGGCCCCCAAGAGGCCCCCAAGAGGCGCCCAAGGGGCGTCCCACGAGGGCCCCAAGAGGCCGAAATCATAGATTTTCCAAAAAGGAAAACGTATATGTTTAGCATATGCGCTTTGTCGGCTTTCACGGCGTTGACGACGGCCCAAGAGGCCCCCAAGACCGCCCCAAGACGGCCCAAGAGGCTCCCAAGAGGCCCCCAAAACGGCCCAAGAGGGCCCCAAGACGGCCCAAGAGGCGCCCAAGACGACCCAAGAGGGCCCCAAGACGGCCCCAGAAGGGGGACCACGAACCCGACAGTCTAGCCTTTCGCCCTAAGACGCCCCCAGGAGCCAGGAGGCCCCCACAGACCCCCAAAGAAGCCCCAAGAGGCCCCCTAAAGGGGCTCAAAGAGGGCCGCAATAGGACTCCCAAGACGGCTCTGAGAAGCCAAATAAAGAGCGATCGGTAACACAAAATGCTCTTCACACCAAGGGTCCCAAGAGCGAAGGGTGACGTAAACAAGCTGATAAGACCAAGGCTCCCAGCAGGGAGCGATGACGTAACAAGTTCCTGACACCAAGGCCCAGCCAAGGCTCAGCAACGGGCGACAACGCAACAATCTCTGAACAACAAGGCTCCCAAGAGCGCGGGGGGACGTAACAAGCTCTCAACGCCAAGGCTCTCAGTACGAACGGTGGTGTGAGTAATTTCGGTCAAATTGTTGAAGCGCTCTTTCCGTTTCCGTGCCGGCCCAGGTCTACAGGGCTACAGGGCTATGGGGCTACAGGGCTATAGGGCTGTAGGGCTGCAG